TTTGTTGCCTCCAAGACATTGTGACATTGTTGTATTTATATTTAATTGATGATTGAGTGATTTGCCCAGTATTTTCTTTTTTTTTTTTTTTTTTGATGTGTCTGAGTAAGCAGGGTACTGTGTTCCTCTGTTTGCTCTTTGGCAATACTTATGCACTCACCACCTGTCTCCTAGTGGGTGTGATAGAGAATGAGGGTGGCTGCATAGATGTCTGTTAACTGTTTGTGAAGACCAGTTAAGGGTGAGCCAGGCTCTAATTGGTGATCCTTTATCATTGGCCAGTTGGTGCAAAAGGAAGTGGTGGCTTCCACTCTGTGAGTGAAGCTGCAGGAGGTATGAGTGTGATTGTGTTGTATGGGCACAGTTGCTCTCTCCTACTCAATTAGTCAAAAATAACCATTGAAAAAAACATCAAAAAAGTAAAAGCCAGAGGACAAAAACACACACCACATAAAAACACAGGAACAATCACCAAAAAGAGAAAAGAGAAAGAAAAAGAAAAAAGGAAAGGCAATAAATGAGAGAAAATATTTAAGGAAATCCTTTAAAAAGCCAAGAGAAAGATGAATATAAAAAGGGGTGGGGGGAATAAAACCACAATATCTGGGGATGGGGAATAAACAAAAAGAAGTAGAGTAAGTGAATAATGAAGAAAAAAATGGAAAAAATGCAAATAGAAAAACAAGTAATGGGGAGAACAACAAGAAAGAAAAATTGGGATCCAGGAAAAAGGAAGAGAGAAAAAACAAAAACAAGAACCTGGGAAGGGAAGAAGAAAGAATAGTAATAAAAATTAGGAAAAGGAAAAAAAAATAGTAATAATAATTTTAAAACTGACAGAAACAAACAAACTAAAAGAAAAGAGTAAAAATTCTTGGCAGAGCAGGGCAGGGCACCCAGGCTCCATCAGAACACACAGACTGGGATGGAATTCCTGCCAGCCCAGAAGGTGGGTGGCACCTCTGTTCCCCAAGAGGGTGTGGCATGTAAGCATAACAAGGGGAATGTCACACTTTTCCATTCCTCAGTGTCCACAGTGTCTTTGCAGTCCCTGGCAAGTGGAGCCTATTCTTAGGTCCCTGGAATCTGATAGAGCGCTGTTACTTTAAATATCCAAAATGGTCCAATCGCCTGTAAACATTCAAAATGGCTGTGCCTTCTGCACAGCCAAATGTCCACAGTTCAGTTTTTCTCCTTTGCGGTTTCCCTTTTTAGTCATCAACCACCAGTGCAGTCCTCCATGCAGCCCTTGGCTAGCAGGCCCAATTTTTAGGTTAGTTCTTAGGTCCTAACACCACCTGGAAATATCCAAACTGTCCGTGATGTCAGGATCACTAACTATTCACAGCTCCATATGTTTCCTTTCTCAGTATTTTCATGCAGGCTCTTCTACTAGTTGGAGTTTAGTCCACTTGTGTATCCTTTCTTTCAAAGCTCAGGGCTCCAGGATTATCATCTGTATATGTGTTAATTGGTTCCTCTTTTCTTTGTTAAAGAGGGTCTGTGTAGTTTGTCTGCCTATTCCTACGTCTTACCGGAACCTTTTTGTATACTTGATTTCAATCCTTTGCTGTTAAATATTTTTCCCAATCCATTGTGTGTCTTTCAACTTTCTTTAATAATTTTGTTTTCTTACAAGTTTTACATTTTCATATGGTCAAATCTGTAGTCTTGCCTCTATGGCTTCTGGACCTTGTGTTTAGAACCATTTCCTATCCCTAGATTATAACATACTGTCCTATGTTCTCTGATACTTGTATAGTTTTATTTTTAGGTTTAGCTCTTTAATCCGTCTGTAATTTTATTCTTATGTATGGTGTCATAGAGAAATGTACCTTTAATTTTATCCAAATGATTAGCCAATTTCCCCCACACCTTTTGGTGAATGCTCTAACTTTTCCTGATTTGAAATGTAACTTTTATCAGAAGCTATTCTGCTACTCAGATCATTTGTCTATCCCTGCACCTGTTTTTACCAGAGTGATTTGTGCAATTTTTCCTCAGCCTCCAGTCCCCAGTAACCATCGCATTTACCACACCTTCTGTCCATCCTGGCTGGGCATTAGCTTTCCCCAAATGTTGACTAATGATGTCTGGCACACAGCACTCTTGAGAGTACTAGAGAAGACAAAGCAGATAATATAGAGTATATGTTCTAGAGGCATTGGTTACTTTCCTTCACTCTTGTTTCGCCTTCCTTTGTATGCTGTATGAAGCCACAGAAGCTTCTCAGCCAAGCCCCACTCATTAGGGAAATGTGCAAGTGCTGGGGTCCAGAAGGGGAACAGAAAGCTTTCAATGGGATGTCTGGAATCGATCCTGAGCACTTGCTTCCATTGTTCCAGCACAGGATCTCCCTGAAGCTAGTAGTTTGCATATGTGAGATTCCTCGCTCCCTGAAAGCACCACTGGCTTCTCCTTCAGTGCACTGAACACTTCACAGGCTATTCCCAGAAAGGCAAAAGCTGTGAGTCCTACTCCTGGCTAGGCTTGCCACACTCCACGTCCTTCCTGCTTTGGGAGAAATTACACCCCGTCTCCTCAAAGGCACTTCTATAGCAAAGGCACACAATGGCTTGGCTCCTTGCTTGAAAAGGGGAGAGGAAAATAGAAATGTGGAAAACAAAAGACAAAATAATATCTCAACAAATTACCTTTTCATACATGTATTGTTTGTGTAATTTGCATAAATTATTTTAAACCCAGAATCAGCCAAAATAGGACATGTGACATAAAACACCATTATTAAACACCAGATGGACATGGAACAAAGCAAGACACACTCTTTTTCTTTACAGCCTATGCTTCTGGGGAGTTCTCCTTCACAGAGTCCTGTCCCAGGTTTTGTGCTACAGGCAGTGAGATGGAAGGTGGAAGGACCACTCCATCCTTGTCCCTGAGGAATGTGGCCTTGCAGAGACATGCCCATATGGGCAAGAAAAATCACTGGAGCTGAGACCAGCCAGAATAACATTTCCAGGTAGAGCTAGTTGGGTGACCAGAGTGTTTGTGAGAACTCCCCACCAAAAAAAAATGTATTACAGACTTTCATGTGTACTATTCGCTGGGGACCACAGCCTGCTGCTCCCTGCAGTTGAACCCTGGCCCAGCACTGCCACTCCCTGACCTACTGCAAACACTGGGGGTGGAGCATAGTCTCTTTGGTCACAGGGATACTGACATATTAGCACCTACTTGAGAGGGTTTTGCTCTTAGGATCAGAAGCAAGAGAAGAGTTAGATAAGAAGTGGGAAGCCAGAAAAGGGTTCACTCTGGAACAAACACCTAGGCACACTTCTATTCCTTGGACCTCTAGAGCCTCTGTGCTATGGGAGAAGAAGGGCCACTGGGGGCTTCCTGCAGGGCCCTTGGTCAGAGGGTGAGTGGCACAGAACAGACTCTATGGGCAAGTTAGGCTATGGGAATTCTCAAGGGCACAGCACTTTCAGGCTCCAAGGAGGGGAGAGGTCAAGGGACCACCCAGGAAACCCACAGCCACTCAGTTCAGAGCCTTCAAGTCATAAACAGGTGCTCTACCAGACAGGGGTTCCATCAGAGCATCTGCCCACTCTTGGGCAAAGAACTGTCCACATCACCAGCACTCTTGGTATCATCTTCAAAACCGTTGTTGACATAGATGTTACTGGTCACGTGGGTTGGAGAAAGATGCTTTGGGCAGGAGTCTTTCCTGGCCATGGCCTCGCTGGCCATAGCAGCCACCTCTTCTCGCTCCTGCTGCAGCACCAGAGCATGGTTGACATCAGGCCCTGGGAGCATGGCAGAGACAAATGACATCAGAGAGATGGCTGAGAAGTTGTCTCCCTCCCCTCTGTACTTTGTAGCAGGGCATCACATGCAGGCAGTGTAGCCCTGAACCCCCACTGCCACTTCATACCTCACTGCCAGCTCTTGCCCACTTTGCCAACCATAGCAGGCACTTAAGCCAGGCCATGGCCTATATGCTCTCCAGTGCAGTGTGACCCCAGCTGCTGGCATATTCTTTCAGGGAAGGACCTGAGCCTCCTGAGTGTGGCCATGAGTCTCTCTTTCCAGGAACACCCTGTGTAACATCCTGAGCAGACACTCCTCACTTTGATACTCTATGCCACTCTCTATATCAGACTCAGGGCATGGGGTTTCTGTGCTCCTGCTCACCTTACTGAGCCAAGTTGAACTGACCCAGCTTCAGAGATGTGCTGCCCACCCATGGGAGGGCAGGACCACAGGCTCTAAACTGATGCCAGGAACAGCCACCCATCCTGTTCTGCAAGTCCTCATGCTCTCCCTAACCCTAGCTAGTCCCGGGCTGCACCTCCTCACCCTTCCCTGATTTCCCACACACCACTCAAAAAAACACCCCCACTTCTCTTCCAAAGAGGGTTAAGAGCTTCCTACCAGTCACAGCTTGGGGCATGGTTAGGACCACTGGGGCCAGAATGCCCACATGGGTTCAAATCCCTGCTCCATATCTACCAATTCCATGATCTGGACAGACACTTTCGTCTTCTCTTGCATAAAAAGAAGTTAATAACAATATCTACTTCCAAAGGTACTAAGAGAATTTAATATATATTTACATGTATATGTACATGTACAAACATACCCTTATGTAAATGTTTTCTACTAATATGTTCACAACTAATTACTATCTCTTGATGTGGGTGAGTAAAATCAAACTCTTCTCTCAGCTCGCCCTTATTCCCAGCTGTCAACACCCTCACCTCTCTGAAATTCTGCAGGGAGAGATTTCAAAACACTGACACTCAATGATGAGGGCACAGAGAAAGGGACATGAGCATGCACTGCTGGTCAAGTTCTAAACTGGTAAAAGTTCCTGATGGGATATTAGCAAGCAATACTTCATGGACTTCATCTAAGGGAATCATTGAGGATGAGGCCAAAGATTTAGTACAAGAACCTTCATAGCCCCACTAACAGTGAAAAGTTACCATAACTTCATGCTCAACAATTGGAAGTTTGTCATATAAAAAACCAAAAGCCAAATTCACGGCTGTCAAGTCAGATTCTACTCATAGCGATCCCTCCTTGGGTTTCTGAGGTGGTATCACTACAAAAGTGGATTGCCCAAACTTCCTTCCAAGGATTGACTGGTGGGTTTGAACTGCCAGCCTTCTGGTTACAATATCCACTGCCATTGAGTAGATTCTAACTCATAGTGACCCCCTTGGGTTCCCAAGGCTATAAATTTTTACAAAATAGATTGCCTCATCTTCCTCCTGCAGAGTAGCTGATGGGTTTGAACTACCAACCTTCTGGTTAGTAGCCAAATTCCTTACCAATCAATACAATAGGATGGCATTTTCAAACTTTTGAGTTACCACTCATTACTAAATCATTTATAAAATTAGTAACAGACTAGAATAGAATATATCGAGTGTATCATGTAAAAAAACAAACCTACTGCCATTGAGTCAATTCTGACTAAGAGCAGCCCTATTGGACAGAGTAGAACTGCCCCATAGGGTTTCTAAGGCTGAAATCTTTACAGAAGCATACTGTCAAATCTTTCTCCCTCAGAGCAGCTGGTGGACTCATACTGCCAACTTTTGGTTAGCAGCCAAGAGCTTTAAACACAGCACCACCAACTCATGCACATTGCTTCTCAATGTAAAATATATTTCTTACTGAAAACAAAATGCAACACACTGCCATTGAGTCAGATCTGACTCATAGCGACCCCTTCTTGGGTTCCTGAGGTGGTATCACTATGCAAGTAGATTGCCTAACCTTCCTTCCAAGGAGTGGCTGGTGGGTTGAACCGCCAGCCTTGTGGTTAGTAGTCAAATGCCTCAGGCACTACACTACCAGTTAAAGTTTAAAGACACTAGTTAAAGTTTAAAGACACAGCAATGAAATACTATATAGCCATGCCATTGACAAAGATGCTTACAATATATTAAGTGAAAAGAGAATAGCCTTCAGAACAGAAAGTACTATGTAATCTCATTCTTGTTAAACACACACACACACACACAGGTGTACAAAAAAAGTACTCTCATGCTGGTAGCAGCTGTCCTGGGGCAAATGGTCTGTGAGTATCTATGTTTTGACTCTGACCTGTGTTCATACCCACACTTTCAGGAACAAGCATGCATTTTCTTTGTGACCATCATCACAGTCACTATGGCCTGTAGTAGGGAGCCTGTGGGCTTTGACTAGCAAGGGCAGGAACAGAAAGGCAGGTGGGCACTTACCCAGGTAGCTGAGGACTACAGGCAGGAAAACTAGGCCATGCAGCAAGCCCAGGAGGGTGATGAGTAGGTTGAGACGGAAGAAGAAGATCTGGATGAGCTGAGACTTTGCAAGGCCCAGGACCAGGATGCCAGGCAGATTGGTCATTGCTACGCCAGCGAAGACCTGGGCACCACAGTTAGGTGTCAGGCTGGGCCCAGGGTGCCTCACCTTGGGTTATGTTGGGGCAGCTCCACCCCACTCACCGCACTACCCATGTCAATGGTGGCCTCTTTGGCCCTCTCCAGTCTGGTGAGTTTGGTGCTGATGGCAAAGGAGCGGGTGATGTGGGACACAAACTCCACTGAGATGCCCACTGCCTATAGGCAGAAGAGGTATCTGCTGTGAAAGGTGGGTACTGGGATTGGGGAGGAACAATCAGAGAGACTGAGGTCTTCTGCTGGATCAAAAGGAACTAGGAGTGTCCTAGGAGGCTAATTCCCCCAACTGCTCCTTGAGGGGCCATCTCTACCCTCAGTACCCAGTCCTTGAGCTGCCAGGCCATGTCTGGGGAGTTACCGTGACCAAGTTGATGAGGGACACAGCATTATAGCTGATGCCCCAAAGTGCCATGAAGCCAACAGTGTCCACGAGGATCATGATGATGGAGAAGAGGTTAAGGAGGCCAGAGCGGAGGTCCATGCCCAACAAGAGGCAGCAGACAACAAAGGTGGGTACAAGGCAGAGGCTCAGCATGAAGAGCCCCTCTGGGACAATAGTCAGATACTGCTCATAAAACACATTGGTGATCCTGCAGTGGACAAGACACTTTCACAAACACCTGTCATTTGATCCTCACAACACCCCTATAAGGAAGGCAGGGTGTTCCCACTTTAAAGAAAGGAGACTGACAATCAGAGAGGCTCCTGGAGTGAGGAATCAAAGGTCCAACTCTTAGCCTGAACCTTCGATTCTAACTTGGTCCTCCTCCCTCATGACCTCCCTGCAATCCCACACCCCAAAGCTCTACTCCCCAACATGTGGCCAGTCTTCCCCTGGGTCCCAGCTGCTCAGAAACTCACGTGTATGGGAAGACTGCAAAGGCTGGGTCTGTCCCTGGAACCTTCAATAGGCTGGCAGTGATATTGGCTGCTAGGGCTCGAGTCGCCCGCAGAGCTTCCGTGTAATCCTGTGAGTTCTTCAGGGGCTTGTGGTAGGCCATGAACCGGGAGGCTGGGCCAGCACAGATGAGGGCCAAGAGATGGGAGAAGGACAAAGGTCAGGTCCTACTTCAGGACATTTTTGGCCTCCATCAGAGGCTGGTCTTGCTTCAGAACACCTGGGATCACATACCTAGCTGTAGGCCTGGCAGCAAGGCAGCAATTGACCCCTCTTGAAATTCTTAATAATTTTGAACCAGGGCCCCACATTTCATTTTTCCCTTGGCCCACGAATTTCTGCAGCTGGTATACCTGCAAGGCAAGGCCAGAGTCCAGGCCATACTACTAATCCTAAAGCCATCACCCAATGGACCCAAATGCTCCTCTGTGTAGCACCAAAACATACACTGGATTGTAAAAATTCATTCAGTACAATTACTTTTCAAATTTGCATATTCCTACAGAAAAGGACCAGGGAAGAGCACAGGAAAATGAAAGCGCTTGCACTGTAGAGTTGTGAGATTATGGACTGGATGGAGTTCCTTCCTGTCAGGTACAATAAAGAGAACTCTGAATCATTTATAATGAGCATGCAAAACAGGAAAAGCAGCAGTACAACTATTTTCATTGCAATGAAAATCAAAAGAACTAATGTTCTTGGACTTCTATATCCTTGGACTATGAAAGTAGCATGGCAGTGCTCTGGCCCAATGCAGCAGGCTTGCTCAAACATAGGCTGCTAGCCCAGTCCCAGAGATTCTGAGTCACAATGTCTCAGCAGAGCCTGGGAATCTGCATTTCTAATACTTCCCAGGTGATACTCATTCTGTGGGGTCAGGGACTACATTGTGGAACACTGCTCTAGACCAACCTTGGTATGCATCTGAGAGGACCAGATGCATAGAGATGGGCAGGGACCTGCCCAGGCCACAATGGGATTGAGGCAGAGTCAGGGCTCAGTCAGGCAGCTACATTCCTGTCTACTCCTTCAGTGCCCTCAATCCTCCATGCCTGAGTGTGTGCTCTCCCTTTTGTACCCACCAACAACTCATGCTGGCTATAGGCTGCATGGGGGTGGAGAATGCATAGAATGGGGCATTCTGACTGGACAAATAGGGACAGGGGCAGGATTCCCCTCCCTGGAAGACAGGAATCTGGATGGTTTAGCCAGGAGGGTGGGTAGAGTGTTTTTCAGTTGCTTTAATTTCTTAATATAAAAGACATACATGCTTGTGAATAATACAAAGAGGGATTATTTCGGCACACGGGGAAAGTGCCCCACTGTAGCCTTCTCCAGGTCCATTTGCCAGCATTAGCCTGACAGGGCTCCCTTTTTCCTTTTTTTTCCACTTAGAATGTTCCAGATATGTGATTTTTTCTTCTTTTTTTTTAAAATACATTTTATTGAAATATAATTTATATACAGTGAAATACACAAAAAGTGACATGGGTCAATGCATTTTTTTTTTCAGTGTTCTCTCCCTTTACCTCCCACCTCTATTGTTGTTGTTATGTACTGTCAAGTTGGACCGGACTCATAGCGACCCCTCCTTGGGTTTCCGAGGCAGTATTATTACGGAAGTAGATTGCCCAGTCTTCCTTCCAAGGAGTGGCTGGTGGGTTTGAACAATCAGCCTTCTGGTTAGCAGTCAAGTGCTTTAGGCACTACGCTACCAGACCTTCCACCCCTAGTAACCAACAAAGAAAGTTTCCTTCCATATATAAACCTTTCCTTGACAGGGCTCCTTTTGCACACAAGAGCTTATATATGTGCACAGTGCTGTGGCCAGCTCCTGGCACACAATGGCCACATTGCTTTGCAGTCTCAAAGTCAACTGGCATTCCAGCCTCAGCCTGAGTTGCTAACCAAGTTGCTCTCAACAGCTGTGCTGGGCTCTGCTGCATAAGGCATCATGAGTTGCTTGGCCAGTGACCCACCACTGATATTCAGTGGTAATTTGTGCATGTTGAGGAAAAGGCACCTAGCACAGATACCAGCAGTCCTAAATCAAGGTCAGCTGCTGAAAATATTCCATGAAGTTCAGGTTGACCTGGAGTGGGGTAGGGGAGGGAACCAGGGGCTCAGGCTGGGAGCCTAAAGCCTTAAGAGATGGGGCAGTGAGAAGTCTCATGTGAAGGAGGAAAGAGAGGTAAGAGAGACAGAGTGCATGCAGAGGGCTTTCAGGGCTCCTAGCTAGGCTATGCTCACCCAAAATCTGACCGTCTGAGCCCAGATTCACAGAAGTGCTATAAGCTGCCAGGCCCCTGTGAGAAGAATATCAGAGCAAAGGCTGAGTCAGGACAGGGCCTCCTCCCATCTGCTTCACCCTCCCCTTGAGCCCCACACCCATCCTCCCAAGAAGAGCCAGCCCATCCTACCCTTTGGGACACTTGATGTTGGGTGGATCATTCAGGAACCATGGGAGGTACTTGTGGAACTGCTCCACTGAGGGTCGGACAGGGCCCAGAGTGAGTCCCATGCAGCTTTTAGAGCAATTCAAGGAACCTGGGGTGGAGGGGCAAGCTAAGTCCTAGGGCAGCACACCTGCATAGAGCTCTGCCCCATCCAGTCCCTGTCCCCCTCCTCTGAAGGCCTGCCCTTATCACTCACACCACCAGAGAACAACAAAAGGCTATGTGCTACTTCTACAGGGATTTGTCACCACTAATCAGGGAGAAAGGAGCCCTGGTAGAACAATGGTTAAGTACTTGGCTGCTAATCAAAAGGATGGTAGTTCAAACCCACCCAGCAGATCTGTGGAAGAAAAATCTGGCAATCTGCTTCCATAAAGATTACAGTCTAGAAAACTCTATGGGACAGTTCTGTTCTGCCACATGGATTCACTTATGAGTTGGAATCCACTTGAGAGACCTAACAATAACAACAATCAGGGAGAACAATTCCCTCTCTAGGCACTAAACTTGTAGGCACCCATGGGCAAGTGAGAAAGGCAGTCTTAGAACAGACCATTCAGGGGTTGCTCCTGCACCCACAAATGGAGCTGATGCAGCAGCCAGGGCACTGGACCAACTTTTGCCTCCAAGCCCCATATGACCACAGCCATCCATCATCAGGGTGGGCATACAAGTATACATGGGTGAGCATCTGTGGGCTTCTGCCCCACCCTGTGACACAGGTGGTGAGCAGTGGCGAGGGAGAGTGGGATGCTGCTGGAGGGGATGAAAGGGGACAGGGGGTCACTGCAGTCCCTTCTTTCAGCTACTGCTACTTGCACCTCAATCTCCTGAAGCTGAGGTAGACAAGAACGTTCCCTAGGCCCTGTGCTCACTGCTGGTTGAGGGACAGAATTCGTCCTTATTGGGGCCAAAGGCATAGAGGCGGCAGCAAGAGGATGGGGTCAGCCAGTCAATGAAGTCATCCACCCAGGAGGAGGCTGGTATGGCCAAGTAAGACCTGAGGGGCAGGGGGAGAGGAGGTTAGGTGGATCTGGCCAGGTGGGTCTGGTGTCCCTTCAGTGCCTGACCTTCTTCTCAGGCTTCTTCAGGTACCACAAGCAAGTGGGCAGCTGGACAAGGGCAGGGAGGCCTCTCAGGAGGCTTGTTAGTTGTGAGAAAGGACAGGGAGAGGGACTAGGGGAAGGAGAAGACAGGCCGGGAGGGGCTGGGGTGGAGGGTTACTCACTGCTCAGGGAACTCGGTGGCATACTGTATCTTCTGGGTTAAAGAGTAGTTGTCGCAGCCTGCACTGGAGCAGATGCTGTTCAAGCCAGCCTTACTGGAGAAGTTATAGCCCGCACTGGTGACAAAGTAGACAGGGGCTCCCACCTCAAAGTAGCGGTTCAGAAAGAGGAAGTAGTCAAGCAGGTATGAGTCCTGGAAGGCACAGGACAGTCAGTGAGCTTCAACAGGCCAAATCCACCCCTAAGGGCTCTTTCCTACTCACATGCTCACAGAAGTGCACACACACAGGTGCATCCACAGAGGTTCATACACAGGTATACACATAGAGATACATTACATAAAGGTACACACACAGTGATATGTACAGAGGTATACACACAGAGGTCTATACACATACAGGCACAGAGGTACACTCATAGAGGTACAAACATACAACAGCACATTCCAGCCTATGTGAATACACACATGCACCATTCTCATCTTTCCTATGATACCCAGTATGGGCAGTTGCCCTCTCTCCAACCAGCCTGTGCCCCCATGCACATCTATACACATATGTCCCTGTGATTACTCAGGTGATCTACAGGGACCTCCACTGGCCTCTCCCTACTCCTCCCAACATGACACCCTCTCCAGCGATGGCCTGCCACTTGTCTCTGGCCCCTACTAGCTCTTAAAAGCTCTTTGAAGGCACTGCTGCTCTGAAGGGTACTCTCCCCTCCTCAACCCTGTGACCTGGCTAGCTTCTCTCCTCATCACTCTCGGATGACTCAAGGGTTCTACAGTGTTTTGTGTCTGATTTCTTTAAGGCAACTCCACTAAAACATCCCCATAGCTGTGCCAGGCCCAGGTCTGACTCTCCTCTGGGCTGTCTGCCAGGCTCCCAGGTCCCAGTGCCCATGCCCAATTCTTCCTCTCTCCCAGTTCACCAGCCCTGGCTCTGCTGCTTTGTCCCTTTGCTCCCTTCCATAGCTACTAGCCAGCACTTTTGTGCACACCCAGCTGGGCAGTGGGTTCTGCCTTGGTTATGCAGTATGCCTGCCCACACTGCCACTTGCTGACCCAGAATTCTTCCCTCACCACTGCTTCCATGAGCCCCTAACACCTGTCAGAATGGAGTCCCATTTGCCCAGGTCTGGCAGTCAGGCCTCCCACACAAGGAATGTGCCTCTGCCCTCCAGGTCTCCCCACCTTTCATACAGACCTCCCTCACTGCCCTCTGCTTTAACTCTCCCATCTTCATGGGCTTGTCCAGACCTCAAAGCCTCCAAGAAGCCCTCCCAGACCCCTGAGCCCATGGTGCTGATTGTCAGCCAGGGCTACATGGCCCAGATATATATCAACCAGACTCAAAATTAATGAGACCACTTTCTATTCATCTTGCAACTGGTATCTTGGACACACTGGGGCTCTTTGAAGCCAAAGACTCATGAACCTCACTTGGAGTTGTTCTATCTGCCCACTATCAGGGCACCTAGGCCATCTATTGCCCTCTGACCTTGCACTTTAGTGCCTGCACTTTTCCCACCTAACATAACCTCTCTCCTCATCCTCCTGGGAGCCACCTCCAAGCACCTGCCATGCAGCTCCCCCAACATAAGGGTCTCACCTTGGGCAGGGCCAATTCCTGGTCAAGGCTCACGCTGATATGGCACATGAAGTAAAGACCCACGCCGAACAGAGCCAGGAACAGCACCAACTGGGGAGGGAGTGGGTGAGAGCCCCCACAGCCACCTCCCTGCTTCCCTTCTTCCCCCAGCCCTCCAGGTGGTCTGGTTGGAAGCACTTGGAGTCAAATAGTTAGCATCCTAGCCCACCAACACTAGCCCCACCACTCTTAACTCTGCCTTCTCACCAAGAAGGTCAAGTTCAAGGCTGAATGAACCCTCTCTTGTGGTCAGGCACCCCAACTCACCACAACCACCCGAGTGACTTGGTGCAGCAGGATTGGCACATAGACCTGGCGGAAAAAGCGGAGCAGAAGCCCCTCCCTGGGGCTGGGTGGGGGAGGCTGCCAGGCCCTGAGGCAGCAGCAGACATCAAGTTGGGAGGCCTGGGGGAGATAGCCCATTAGGGTGGCACAGAGCTGACCAGGCCTTGCCCACCTGCCCAGTGTGCACCATTTTTCTCTTGCTAAAATATCTCTGAATTTTACAGACACAAAAGTAATAGCTCCCTGTCACTTTCTCACTCATATTTTGTTTAGCTGACTTTATGCACTTTTGGCGGTCCTATCATATTTCCAAAAATGCCCAAAACAAAATCACTGTTCTATGGGAAATTGGGAAAACAAGACCCGAATATTCCCCTCCCAATACAATGCTCCCCACTTCCAGCTACTTTGGTGAAAGTGAGGCCACCCCAGTGCCCAGTTGGGGCTCTCTAGCAGAGCAGGGATCCTGAGCCCAGGCACAGCCCCACCTCCTGCCTCTTGCTGTCAAGGGAAAGCAGGGCCACGAAGGCCGACATCTGCAGCAGGAAGTCAAACACCACTGCAAGGCCAGAGGTCAGAGCAAAGGTTCGCACAGCCGGCATGGTTGTCAGTGCCCCTGTGGGAAGAGCAGAGACCTGTGAAGACACCCAGTTCCAGATAGAGAGTGGGTCTGCACAGACAGGCACAGGGGCAAGGATCTGGCTCAGCTGAGCCCTCCAATTAGCCATAGACCCAGCCCCTGGGTGAGGGCCTCAAGTCTCACCTAAGAAGAAGCAGATGGCCTCAGAGAGGCTGCACAGCAGCATGCTGGGGGCCACGCGGCCTAGGGTTCGGCCAATATGTGCTTCCCGCTGCTCCCCAGGCTTCCTCGGCAGTCTCTGTGTGGGGGACAGCACGGACAGGGTCCAGGGCCCAGCCAAGGGCATGGTGCCTCTTAGGCCAATAGGGAATTGACGACTTCCCTTGTGGAAATGCCATGGATGGCCACTTCCCAGAGACCCCACAAGGCAAAAGGAGATTTCCCTTGGCCTTCCTGGTAGGCACTTAGCACTGCTAATTTCCCACCGTAGGGCTGATCCCAAATAAGCTGGGCACAGTGCTTCAGCAAGTCATGGCATCCCTGCTCCAGTACGTGAATATCAAACTCAAATTCACTGCCACTGAGTGGGATCTGACTCATAGTGACCCCTCCTTGTGTTTCCAAGGCAGTATCTCTATGGAAGTAGATTGCCCAATCTTCCTTCCAAGGAGTGGCTGTTAGGTTTGAACCACCACCCTTCTGGTTAGCAGTCAAATGCCTTAGGCACTATGCCACCAGAGCTCCCAGCACATGGATAAAACCTGAATATTCATCAGGAGAGGACCAAGTACACCCAATTTATCCCTACTCTGGAATGCTATGTGACAGTGTAAAGACAAGAAGTACCTCTAATGTTCTGATGTGGAAAGCTTTGCAAGACATTATATGTTGATAGCAGAAAGCAAGTTCATGAAGGAAGATCCATGCAGCATGAATCCACTTGCATTAGACATAAAACACTCTAATATCTATAAAAACTAGTTGCCATCAAGTTGACTCCACTCATGACCCATGTGTGTCAGAGTAAAACTGTGCTCCACAGGGTTTTCAATGGCTGATTTTTCAGAAGTAGGTTGCCAGGTATTTTCTCTGAGATGTCTCTGGATGACCCTGAATGACCAACCTCTTGGTTAGCAGCAAGGATTTTAACCATTTGTGCCACTCAAGGATTCCCTGCTTTCTCAAAACTCAAGATCATAAAAAAGACCACGTTTACTGGTGAGACCTCTGAAACTGTACCCCTCGATAACCTCAGGTTGGGAATTGAACTCACTTATGTGGCTTCCAGCCAAACAATAGACAGGCATATGTTGTTGTTGTTGTTGTTGTTGTTATGTGCCATCAAGTCAGACCCGACTCAACAACCCCTCCTTGGGTTTCCAAGGCAGTATCACTATGGAAGTAGATTGCCCACTGTCCTTCTGAGGAGTAGATACACTCCTTAGAACAATCCATCATGGGAAAACAAAAGGACAGTATTTGCACAGAGAGATAGCTCAGAGGGCAGGAAGGCATAGGAAAGAAGGCATAGGGAAGAAGTGGGAAGAGAGCTGTTACATTGAGGGGAATTGCAGTCAATGTCATGAAACAAAATGTGTATGAACTGCTGTATGGAAAATGAATTTGCTCTGTAAAGTTTTAACCCTAATCACAATAAAAATTAAAATAATAAACAAAGAAGCAAAAAGGACTCACTGCTTTCTCCATACACTATATGTGTGAATCCAGAGGAAGAATCTGAAGGAATGCCCAGCAAACTGACCCAGGCTTGTGTCTGGCAGTCAGAGCCAGCAGAGCTCCCTTTCTTACCTGGTACTCAAGAACGAAGATGAAGATGTTGTCAGCACCCACAGCAAGCACCAGGAAAGGCACAACTTGGAAGATGACCAGAGAGGAGGGAACACCCACATAGGCGAAGAAGCCCATGGCAGCCATGACTGCTCCCAGCACTATTGTCACCCCACCCAGGCCCAGTGTGGCCTTGGAGTCCACCTGTGATGAAATCAGGACTCAGATTTTCTGCCACTGCCAGCATACTTGTCTGGATTAGGGGCACTCCACTCTCCTTGGCTAGAAGAAGATCTGGCAGCAGGCAGTCTCTGTGTGAGCTCGGCCATGTGTGGTGCTCTGCCACCAAGGCCAGGGCTCTTCTTATCACTCAGCACCTTTCCAGACCTGGCCTCCTAGGGCAGGCCCACAGCACCACAGACACAGCCCAAGTAGGAGGTGCACATTGGCCTCATCCTCCTCAAGATTCCATTGTAAGAAACTGTGGGTGTTGGTTTTTGCAGCTAAGCAGAGATGTCACATAGCAGAATGAAATTATCACTTGACCTTTAAAAATAAAACACTGCAAAGAAACAGTGAGGGCCACTTTGACTTCAGGTGGGTGTGCCCACTTTGTTCTATTTTGAGGTGCTCTGGTTATGAAAGTTCAGAACTCATAAAGTGCTTCCAGAGAGCTAGGGGCACCTGTCCTCCCAATATGGACAAGAGGCACTGCATCTCCCTCATCCAATTGCTGCTCACCAGCACTCGGCACTTGCTGGAGTAGCTGCCCAGGGCCAGGGTGATATACAGGAAGATGACAATGTAGCTGATGGCAAAGATGGGCAAATCTTCCCCTGTGGTTCGGTTGATTTCGTCTTCCAGAGAGCGCTATGGACATAGAATGGGCAAGTACATTGGCTGAGCCAATGTACTCTGGGCCAAAAGGCTTTCAAAGGGCTCATGGCCTGAGAGAGCAGGAGGGGACTTGGAGGAACCAGAGGGCTGAGTGGAGGGAGGAAGTGTCACTATCATCATCATCATCATCATTATCATCATCACAAAAGCAGCAAAGGTTTCTGAGCACTAACTGCTGTCCACGTTCACTTGGGGGCTGGCTGTAAGCCCCAGAGTAGCTTCTAAAAACATGGTTGTCCTAATCAACCCTGCAGGAACCAGGACACAAGGCTATGAGATCACTTGCCCAGGAGGTGGCAAGGCACTGGAACCCACTCACAACTACCTGGGCTGTACCCCCAAGTCTCAGGGCTTAAGCTCACCTCCGCCATGTAGGTGACCTGGAAGATGCCTGCTGTCCGCAGCTGGAAGGCGCGCATCTCTTCTAGGAAGCCTGACTCCCAGAGCTTGGCCTGCGCCAGCCGAGGGTCCCCAGGCAGGTAGTTGTTGAGGGAGAAGGTCATGATCAGGGCCTCTGCCTCAGAATAGTCCTTCCCTGGGAAAGACATGCTCAGCAAGGAGCTCCAACCAGCTTAGCCCTCCAATTCCTCTCCATCCCTCACCTTCTTCTGAGTATCAAGCTTCCCACCCACCTCACTTACCTCTCATCAAAGCAAGAGCATCTGGACCATGTGCTACCAAACAATGAAGATCCAAAGATGGGGTAGAATGAGCCACTTGAGCTCCCCAACAAGCCAGACTACCTTACTGTAGCTGGAATCCTGTCACATTCCCACCTGCTGCCCCAGGATTCCTGCCCCTCCCAGGCTTCTTCTGGAGCTGTCACCTTACCTTTGTAGCCCCCCACTGCAAGGAAAGGGAAGACAGGGGCCCCGTAGTCAGCCATGCAGCTTAGGCCCAGGGCTGTGCCATCTTTGAAGGTGAGAGGGGCACTGTGGGAAAACAGGAGAGAGAACAGTGCTCTGCCTGCTCCAGACCCTCTGCTGTCAGAAAGAACCTTGCCTTACCCTAGCCACACTACTAGGGAGTGGGAGCAGCAGGGCTTGGGGCACCTGATCCAGAGGGTTGGTAAGGGTTTTAGACTCATAGCCAGTTTTACAAACACAGTCTCCTGAAGGATCCTAGTAGTAAAGTGGTGTTATAGATTGAATTGTGAACCCACAAAATACATGTTACAATTCTAACACATATGAGCCTGTCTGTGCCTATAGATACAATCCTTTTTGGGAATAGAGTTCTTTGTTATGTTAATGAAGTCATATCAGTGTAGGATATGTCTTAAACCTAATCAGTTTTGAGATATAAAAAGAGCAGAATAGGAATAGGGATGAGCAAGCATAAATGGGAAAAGATAGATGTCAACTTGAGATTTCCAAGGAACCGAGGAACCCTGGGGTTACAAAAGCTGAGACAAAGATTTTTCCCCAAAGCAGATAGAAAGAGCCTCCCATAGGGCCCTGATTTCAGACTTCTAGTTCATGAGGAGGTGAACTTCCTAAATAGTGAAGAAAAAAAATCTGTTCGTTAAAGCCACCCACTCATGGTATTTCTGCTATAGCAGTACTAGGAAACTGAGACAAGTCAAGTCAAGCTAATGTTTTGAGCTTTCTCTGTGTAAGTGGGTGCTCTCCCAGCACTAACTGTCCTTTCCTTCACCCTCATACCAGCCCTCAAAACAGGCACCCTTGTTATTCTCATTTCCAGATGAAACAAGTGGACTGGGCAACACTCATCAGGTTCCATGGGGGCTAGAGGTCGGAATCTTAACTATAAGTTCCACATACTACACCCTTAGCCTCCTCCTCCATCTTAGCACCCTGATTCACTCTAGGCCAAGAACCCAGGAATCCCATGGTGTCAGCACCACCATTACCAGTGGGTAAACTTGGACAATGCCTCTATAGCCCTACCAGGCACATTTTCTGTAATTGAATGTAAACTGAATTAGCGCAAAGAGGCAGTGGGTATGCACATGAAAAACTACCAGCCTTTGGCTGGTGAAGAATGCCAGCTATGCACCTACTTGCTCTAGAACCTTGAGCAGTTCACCTTCTCATTTTAAGCACCAGTCTTCCTGTCCATGAATAAGGACAACAGAACACTCCGAGAGTTGTAAGAATCCAAAATCAAAATAAAGGTAACATGCGAGGAGGGGCAGTAAACCTCTGAGCAGATGTGAGTCTGGGATCAGGACTCCTGATGCCACCTGGTACCCTCTTGGAATAAGCCATGGCACAGCCTCCCCTCCTCCCTTCCTGCCCTTTGCTGACCCCACTTCCTGCTCCTGGTAGCATAGACACAGACACTGTCTAAACTTTGGGCTGAGTTGAGGGATAGAGAGCAGAGGACAAAAAGCACTGGCTCTCTACTCCATTCCAGTTGTTCTTAAAGTGTGGTCTGGTAACTTTTGGGAGTTCTGAGACCCAAGGATCTGCAAGGTCAAAACTACTTTGATAATAACACTAACATGCTATTTGCCTTTTTTACCTTCTGTCTTGTGGACAGAGTACAAAAAGTTCATTGATACAGTTTCTGATTTTATATTGCAGCTAGCATTTAGGAAAAGGCTACTTGTTGAGTTTCAGTGTAGCATCAAAGAAGAATAGCCATATTATCAGGAAAGGCTAGGAAAACATTCCTTTCTTTTCCAACCACATATGTGTGTGAGGCCAGATATCTTAGTATCTGTCAACTAACATGTTACAACAGACTAAATGTTAGAACCAGTTATGAAAATGCAGATGTCTTGTGTTAAACCAGACATTAAAGAGATTTGCAAAACTGTAAAACAATGTACATTTCTCATTTTTTTGTTTTGGAAAATATATTTTTCATTAAAACATACTATGTGTGTCACCATGTAATGGGTTTATTGTTCTTTTTAAAAGATTAAATAACTATATTTTAAATTTCTCATTTTCATTTCTAACATGGTTAAGTGTTGAAAAATTTAACCCACATTTAACAGAAGCTCTTTAGGGTCTTAGTAAAATTTAAGAGTGTAAAGAGACCTTCAGAACACTTGAGGGGTTGGGCCATCTACTTCCGTAGTGATACCGCCTCAGAAACCCAAAGAGAGGTCGTTATAAGTTGGGTCCAACTCGATGGCAAATAACAACAACGACAACAGCTCTTCTTCAATGCCAAACAGCCTGAGGGCTGCCGCCCCCTTCCCCCTCAGAGTACATTCCATTTTGTTTCACATTTGGGCCACAGGAGAGGAACTAAGCCAAGGACTGACTTCCAAACAAGGTGAAATTGGGAGCTCTGGTAGCATAGTGGCTAAGACACTTGCCTGCTAACCAGACGGCTGGCGGTTCAAACCCACCAGCCACTCCTCGGAAGGAAGGTTGGGCAATCCTACTTCCGTAGTGATACTGCCTTGGAAACCCAAGGAGGGGTCGCTATGAGTCGGGGCCGACTCGACGGCACATAACAACAACAACAACAGGCCTCCCTAGGGACACCTAGCCAGGAGCATGAGAGTGGACTGTGAGTGACAGCCCTGGGCCTTGGCTTGAGGCCTCTTTTCTATTCATATCATAGCATGTGTGGGCTCCCAAAGGCCTGGCAGCCTGTAGCCAATGGCCTAGTGCAAAAACAAGCAAACTGGAACCTAAGCTGGGCCAAATTCCTCTCTAAAGATTTAAACCAAAAGAGAAGGGATCCCTTGACAGAAAGTATGTGGAGCAGAGGTAAAGTAATTCCTTGGAATGTGCTGAAGCAAAGGAAGCTTGATGAAGAAGGACGGGCTGGAGAAAGCACCAGGGAAGATGAGGTGCATTGCAGCCCCCATGCACAGGCACCCTGAGCCCTCTAGCTGGGCTGTGTCCTTCCCCAGACTCCTGGGAGGCCCCTCTGGCTGCCCAGAGAACCCCATCTTGGAGCCCCTTGGCAGTCCGTGGCTTGACCCTGTGGGGACTCACTTGACACAGTAGAGAAAGTGATCCCTCCAGCCAACCTCAGAAGTCTGCCCCATGAGGGTCTGGTTGGCAGTGAGCAGCAGGCGAGATTGGTTATTCTGGAAATACTGCAGCAGGCTGTTGATGCTGCAGTCTGAGAGACTGGCATTGTGTGGGTTGAGCGGGGCATAGCAGACGTCACGCAGTGAGACATTGCGCTGCTCTTCAGGCGACCACACCTGCAGCTGCCGCAACTTCTCCTGCAGCTCCAACAGCTCTAGCAGCAGGTCGGGCGCCAGGACCCCACTGAAGTTCTTGGGTCCCAATAGCAGGGAGTCATAGCCATAACTGGCCCTGCCAGGTGCAGTCAGGATTACCTGGTTGGTGCGAAAGAAAGGGCCAAAATGCTGATCATGGAATTCTTTTTCCTGCCGGGCCTGGCTGTTAGAGGCTGACCATAGCTCCACAGGATTTGTGGTGAGTTCCATGAAGGCCAAGCCCCCTGCCAAAGCCAGCACAACTGCAATGGACACCCCCAGGATAGTCAGTGGCCATGAGGCCACCCATGTACCCCAGGCCTGGAAGAAGTGGCCCAGGAGCATGTGAGTGGTGAAGCTGAGCCTATCGAAGAAGCTTGTATGCACATCAGGGTCCGAGACCTTGCCCTTCTCCCTGCAATGGGCCAGGCGGGGTTGCGTAAGGAAGACGACAAGGACAGTAAAGACAGAGCACAGGATGATTATAAGGACCAGGTCCCCTGCCATCTGGCCCAGGCGGAAGGTGTTGTCCAAGGGTTGCGGGTGTGGGATGATAGGGCAGGCTGCAGCACAATCCTGGCATGAGCAGGCTGCAGCACCAGTCCCCTGGGACTCGTTGCAGCTCACAATCTCCGAGTTCAGAAGCTGTATCCCATCTCCAGGGACCTGGCTGGGGTCCCAGAGATGGAAGGTGATGTCCAGCGGAGCCAGGCCATTGCTAGTGTCTCCCTGGTAGTTGAGCCAGCGCTGGGCATTGCACAGAGCAGAGCCATACACACCACACATGGTGCCCACAGCCAGCGTGGCAGCTGCAGGGACACGTACACGGCTACAGGAATCATAGGCACGCTCAGCAAAGCTGCGTTGGTAGAAGGCCTGGTAGGCCAGCACTGCTGGGGGCTGCCCACTGACCGCCTGGGAGACACGTGTCACATTGATAAAGAGGCTCTGGTCAGGGCTACAGGTGTTGTGACAGTGCAGGCTAACAAAGTTGTCGGAGCACGCAGGGCAACGAGTGAAGAGAGCCTTGGTGACTGCCAGGCTTATCTCAAGGGCCACCAGTTGCTTGGAGGAGCAGCAGGCATAGGTAGTGTTGGGGCCAGTGTAGAGGCGGGGGCAGATGCGCTGCAGGAGGGTCAGGTGCTGGCCCGTGATAAGGCGGGCAGGTGTGTTAGAAAGGCAGGAGACGTTGGACAGCGGGGCCAAGCTCCCTGACAGCTCAGGGTTCTTCCCACATTCATCGTAGAAGGCACAGTAGCCAGCCCGGTGGAAGGGTGTGTATGGTTGTGCCTGGGCCTGCAGAACAAAGGATGTCACTGGGCCTGCAGGGCTGCCCGCGATGGAGATACAGGGTGTCCCAGGGAGGATGCAGAGGGAATGAGCCACTCAGGTGAACCAAGGACACTGAACAGCTTGCAAGTAGTGTGACTAGGGAAGGAAGGAAGGGGCTCTGAAGTGGTGGGTACTTATCCTTAAAGTGAGGAAGGAACCTCAATAGATGTGCAGTTTAGAGAAATCCTCCCCACCCTTCAGTGAAACAACTGGGGAGGACAGTCTGCCCAGGCTTCTGGAGCCTGCCGCATGGGTGTTGGAGGGCAATGAAGATGCCTGGGAGGAACAGGGGCTGAGGCAGGCTCCAAGGACATCTGGGGACTGCACAGCACAGGAAGCTCTGCTGGCACTAAGTTACCCTGAGGCTGCAGGCCCCAGGCCACACAGCTGTGCCCAGAGTCCCTGCTGGGTCCTTCTCAAAAGAAATGCTGAATGCCAGGCTGCTCCTGATGTCACCTTCTGAGCCTGAGCCACACTACTCACACTCACAGACTACAGAGAGAGAACAAGACAGTTAAGAAGCTCCATACCTTCTCCCAACCCTGAGATGTTCAGTCCTCACCCAGTGATGATCCCCTCTACCCCCGCATATACCTTCAAGACTGGATCCCTCCCTCCCTGTAACTCTAGGACTTGATCTGCTCCCCAAGCTCCCCTGTACTTCCAGGACTAGGTGACTCTCAGACTGCTGAGACAATTCTGAGCCTGAAGCACAAGGTGCCTCTCCTTGTCGCTGCCTGCCCCTCCCTGACTTCTGTGGTCTAGTTCAACCTCATGGACTGGAGAGTCAGGAGGGAAGGCAGCCATGATCCTTCCCCCACCTTCTTCTCCAGGAGGCTAAGACCCACCAGTACTCATACAGTAGCCTGGCCCCAGTTGATCCTTGGGGCCTCTGGCTCCTCCAGACCCTGAGAACCTTTCACTGTGTGCCAAGTGGTCCCAGGCCCCAGGAGCAATACAGCCCCTGTCCAATCACCTAACTGGTGGGTGATGGACACAGGCACTGAAGACTTACCGAGCACAGCAACAGGATGCAGAATAGCCAGCACCTCAGGCCAGCCTCAGCCATCCTGGCTCTAGAAGGAGGCAGTGGGGCCAGATGAGAAGTGAGATGTAGGATGAGCCAGGAGCCAGATCCTGGACACACATTAAGGCAGTCTCCTCCCTGTCATGACAGCCCTGGCCTGACTGGGGTGGAGACCAATGGGTGCACTTTCTGGTCTCCCAGCTAGTTAATGATCCACCACACTCCCTGTTCCTTCACCATTTGGGCCCTGTTCCATGGCCCTCTCTTAGGTGAGCCTCTTAGTGGAAGTGGTGAAGTCTCCCTTTCGGCCTCTTCCCAAATCCACAAAGTCTGGCCTATGGGCTGAATCAGCAGAGGCTGCAGTGACACCTCCTCCCCCTTGCAACCAGACACTCCAGTTCCAAATGCTGGAGGCACCACCCAGAAAGACAGGAAGGGTTCTGGGCCTAGCTCAGGCTCTGGCCTCAGAGAGTCCAACCTCAGGCACTCAGCACTGCCCTGAGAGGCCTGCCTTCCATGCCTAGCAGTGTCATATCCCCACTTCCCACTCACCCTCCCTGCGACCAGACACATCTCCAGCACTGTCATCCTTAGCAACTGTTGTTAATTGATATAACAGATATAATAATAAAGGGGGAAGCTGGGGTGCAGTGACACTGCAGCAGCAATTTGTCCTCCAGAGGGAAAGGGGAAAGAGCAGCTCGAAGCAGGGCTCTCCACTCCTTCCCCTTTTCAAACTCCACTCACCCCCTTATTGGGTCTGCCAGCATGGTGAGGAACAGAGAGCAGGCCAAAACTAGGCCAGCCACACCCTGCTGGGCCCAGGTGTACTGCACATGCCCTCTGCTCTTTTCCGATAGGCATCTTGCATGGCCTTGCTCAAGTTCTCCCTATCTCCAGGATGGGCCATGACCTTGGCTCCCAGTGTGCTGAGCTGGTAACAGCTGCTGTGGATCAGTGGCATCACTAGGGTTGGTGTCACTGTCCCCTCCCCACCCCACGGACCTCCTCCCATACCAGACCATACAGAATCCTTGGTAATATTTATTATCAATTTTAATCATAGAATAATACGTAACAGTTGTAAATTATCTATGTGTAACCCACCAGCCACTCCTCGGAAGGAAGGTTGGGCAATCCTACTTCCGTAGTGATACTGCCTCGGAAACCCAAGGAGGGGTCGCTATGAGTCGGGGGTGACTCGACAGCAAATAACAACAACAACAAATATTTCTTAGATTATATGAATATTAAACAAAATTGTTTTATAAAATCTCTCTACCTTGAATTACATTATTGGTTACAACATTATTGGTAACCGAGAAGAAACCTTTTTTAATTTATTTTTATTTTAATATTGTATTAAAAAGTTTCCAAGAAAATAGAATGCTGTGTAAAATTTTCATTTCACTTTTGAGAAGTTTTTTCTTTGTTGTTATTGTGATTTGGGTGAAAGTTTACAGAGCAAATTCATTTTCCATTCAATAGTCCATATACACTTTGTTTCATGACATTGACTGCACTTGCCTACAATGCAACAGCTCCCTTTCTACTTCCTCCCCATAGTTACCTCTTCCCTGTGTCCTCCCCTTCCATGCTCTCCTGCCCCCACCCCCAGCTGTCTCCCTGTGCATACACAGCCCTTCTATTCTCCCATGATTGATTTCTCTAGGAGTGTATCTACCTAATTTAAACGTTCAGGTCATATGCCTGTCTTTTGTTTGGCTGGAAGCCACGGGAGTGGGGCAGAAACCTTTTTTGAGTTTTCTCCTTTTGCTTTAATTACTACTTCATTCTCAAAAGAGTTATTGATATAGGTTCACAAATACTAATTATCACAATATTCTAATTAAAAATAGAAAATTTGACAAAATCAGAGACTATAAAAACATTGATAGCAATGGAAACAACTGTGTGCTTATAGTGTATGCATATGAAACCAAGTAATTCAAAGCATCATCGTAATTAGGTAATAATGTCAGCTCTGACCTGAGCACATTGTTGTTGTTGTTATGTGTGCCATCAAGTCGGACTTGACTCATAGTGACCCCTCCTTGGGTTTCTGAGGCAGTATCACTACGGAAGTAGATTGCCCCATCTTCCTTCTGCGGAGTGGCACAGTAGAATGTTCAAAAAGTAAATTAGCACCTAGTTTTAGTCTTGTAGGTATATTGATATATGTAAGATGAGCTTACAAAAAATATTTTTGTTGTTATAATTAACTACAGGGATATTTTTATAAAAAATAATAAATTTCTGCTGAAACACTGCACAAAAATTTGATAGACAGTCATTTTGATATCACACCCTCTGACAGGTTCAGCTGGTGCAGTCTGCATCCTCCACACCTCTTTAGTGACGCTGACTGCTGTGGATGTTGGGGAGTATCTCCCTGTGGCTACCTGCCACCCATCATCAGCTGGCTAGTTCCCTGAACTTGTGTCCTATGGACTCTGGCCTGACTCAGAAGCAGCCAACCCTGTGTGTGCAGAGGCAAGCAGAGGCCAAGGGAGGGAGATCAGGATGCTGAGGCAGAGGTGAGCAAGGGCAGGACTAGAGTTGACCCCAAACTCATGAGTCAGCCAGGAGTGGAGTGGAAAAGAGTCTGTGGGCCAAGGCTCTGGCACTGCTTCCTGTGCCTGGGCTGGCTACTAGGTAGTCTCCATCACCCACTTACGGGACATTCTCTGTCCTACTGATGAGGTATCTTAGTCTGTGCTTCCCCAGAAGAAGATCCGAGACAAGGATTCAAGTACAGACAGTTCACCTGGGAGATGACCCTAGATGACACTAGCAGGAAAGTAGGGAATGAGCCAGGGAAGGGAAGGAAGCCAATCTAGGGTTTCTTAAAGAGCAGGCTCCTACCACAAAATCTAGCAATCCCAATCCTAGGTAAACACCCCAAAGAATTAAAAACAGAAACATATATAGTACAGCACTGTTCACAACAACCAAAAGGTGGAAACAATTCAAATGTTCATCAATTAATGGATAGATTAATGGATAAACAAAATGGAACATATACATATAATGGAATACTAAAAAAACATCAAATAAAACCCATTGCTGTCAATTCCAACTCATAATGACCCTATAGGACAAAGTAGAACTGCTTGATAGGGTTTCCAAGGCTGTCATCTTTACAGAAGCTGAGTGCCACATCTTTGTCGCATGGAGTGGCTGGTGGGTTCAAACAGCCAACCACCATGCCACCAGGGTTACTCAGCCATAAAGAAAAATGAACTCCTGATGCATACCACAACATGGATGAATCTTGCTGAGTGAAATAAGTCAGTAACAAAAGGAGGAATATTGTATTATTTCACTTATATAAAATATCTAGAATATGAAAATGTAGAAATCAAAGTTTATGATTTCAGGGTGAGAGGGACAGGGAAAGAAGTCATTGCTGAGGGAGCAGTGAGCTTCTGGTAATGGTGGTGGAATATGGAAAATAATGGTGATGGTTGCACAACACAATGAACATAATCACTGTCACTGAATTGTACATGTAAACAATGTTGAATTGGAAAATGTTTTGTAATATATATTTTTGCCACACACACACACAAAATAGCAGGCTCCCCATGGGTCCTGAGGGCTCACTGCCCCAGGGGCCACTGGGAGGTGTGTGGGAAGTCTACAGGCAGTGGCATGTGTTATCTGCCAGCTTTGTCAGTCACTAGGTGAGGGACACTTCTGGAAGTTTTACTCCACCAAGCCTGTTCTGCCCTCCCCTGCTAGCCAGGCACATTGCAGAAAGCCTGTCCAGCAGCTCACAGCAGGAGGTCAAAGCGTGCCTGGCAACAATGAGGTTTTCTGAGACAGGCAAGACATGGGAGCAGAACCATCGGACTCCAACTAGAAGATGAAACTTCCAGGCTCAACCCAGGCATGAATTACTTTTAAAAGTTGTGATCATACTGTGCTAAATTAATATCAACTGGCATCGAGTCAATTCTGATTCATAGTGACCTTATAGGATAGAACAGGTCTGTCCCATTGGGTTTCTAAGGCCATAAATCTTTATAGAGCAAATTGCCTCATCTTTCTCCTGCAGAGAGGCTGGTGGGTTTGAACCACTGACCTTTTGGTTAGCAGCCAAATGCCTTAACCACTGTACCACCAGAGCCCCTTCGGACACTCATATCCTTTTTCTCTGAACTTTTAGCATCAATACTTAACACTTCTTTCAATCTCTCTAATTCGCATCGTCAACACTGCAGTGTTCCCTAGAGTGGGTATATCTTACCTCTCTTGTGCTGAAAACTGGACTAGTCCTATTATCTGATTATTAGGAGCAAATTTCTGGTTAACTTCTCTGGACCTTTTAAAGTCTCCCTCTTTGAGAGACAGCTCAGGGGACAGGAGCCCATGGAGGGATGGACACTGGGAAGAGGTAACTATGGGGAGGAAGTGGGAGGGAGCTGTTGCATTGTGGTAAACTGTGGTCACTGTCATGAGACAAAGTGTATATGAACTGCTGTATGGAAAGTGAATTTGCTCTGTAAATCTTCACTCAAATCACAATTAAAAAAAAAAAGTCTCCCTCTTTGAGAGGTATATGCCCCCAGGACATGTTCTCAGCAATGAGATGAGTGGGTCAAAGAGCATACTGTATATCATATCATTTTACGTACATAAATTTTCATCTCTTCCCTCAATGTTATATAATCTTGAGGTTATCAGGCCACTATCAAATTCCTTCTCTTTGTTATCTAGTTGAGGACATTGATTTCCCAAGGGTGGCAGCTTCTTCTCTGACACCAGTGATACAAAGACACTCATCTGCCCTCACGTGTTATATTTAATCTCACACTTTACAGGTATCATAACTGTAAACTGAGACCTCATTTTAGAATTTCTTCTATTATTAGTGAGATTGAGTGTGCCTGGAAGGTAGCCACTCTGAAGGAACAGGTGCTGGACCCAGGTGATAGCCATCAGCCAAGAGGTCTGCTCAATCAGGACCTGTACGGGTAGCCAGGGAAGAATTAGGCCTTAGGTAGGTCCTGTAGGGATGGGCCTAGAGATGTCAAGAC